TTTTTTCTTCTTTCTGTCTTTATTCTGAAGTGTATCGGTGTTGTGTGGCAGTTCGAGGGAGGGGGAAGGGAGTGTTTTCTGTATTACTTATTGATTTAGAGCAATATCGTAGTTAAAATGTATAGGAGAAGCAACTAGTTTAACCGTTCAACAGAAGGATCGTGTTGCCTAATTAACATAGAAGAGCCCTCCTAAAAGGGGATGTGATCGGAAAACTCAAAGTGTGACGTAGTGGGGTGGAGACTATTGTGTAAATCCATTATATACCTTAGTCCTGAGCAAAATGGCGGATGCAAACTGTAAATACCACTGTATAGTGTTGAAGGATCGCTTATTTCTTCAGATAAGAGCGTGGTAGTTTCGAATGAGAGAGACTTTTGCCTTTAAGGGGGGTCTTCTAGAGGTGGGGGAATTTATACAGCATCACTAGTGCCGCGTGTTTCCTGCGTGCGGCACGATTTAACATTTTTAATAGAAGCCCGGAAGATGCACCATCTTCCCCGGAGGAAACGTCTATCTGCACCCATGCCCCTTGTCGGTTTAGATAGAGGGAAAAAGCCAAAAAAAAAAAAAATAATAAGGGAGGACCAGTTAATCTACATCTGGATATCAATTCGTCCTTGGAATTCTCTCTTTATATCCTTGAAAATCTTTTCTTTCTAGGAGATAAATGGCAGCTAGCGGGAGGTTTTACTCCAGACAGGGAGGAGAAACGTTTGTTATGCTAATCCCGTCCGTCATCCTGTCCGTTCTTGATTAAAACAAATTTCCAACCCCGTCTCGGACTACCGGTCCTGATCTTAGCATTAGAACCCGTGGTCCAATAGTTGCCGTTGCAGATGATGCACTTCTTGTTGACGACCTCCCCATTCGACCCTCGATTAATCCAACAACTTAGTTCGGTCTTTACCCTCTATCTTGTCTTTTAATACCACAGGGAAAGAAATATACGTTTGCGGCTTTCACCCTATCTTTAGAGATGACGTATCATTTGATATATCATTTGTAGCTGATGAAGAAAGACATTTGTAATTTATGGCCCCGTGTCGGCCTTTAGAATTATTATCCAATCCGTGTGATGCATTGTCGGATGTTTAAAGATGAGAATCGTGGAAATCGCCCGGATTTCATGACAATCGTTGTATTGTAAATCATAATTTAGGTGTGTGTATGTACTGGTTTTAGGTGCCCGAACGACGCCTCTGCTTCTAAAATTGATGCTTTAAATTAATGCTTCCAGTTATGATTAGTGGGGGTGCAGCATACCACGAGCAAACATTAGCTTTTTTTAACGTTATTTTCCCTACTTTGTGTGTGTGTTTTTTTTTTGCGTACAGTTCGAGGGGGAAATCAAATTTGCAACCTTTTACTCGATGTCCGTACAGATTCGAGTTTTTAAACCTTTAAAATGACCTTCAACCCCCTCCTCCTGGCAAAAATCACCTTTATTCACACGACAGATCCGTGTCTACTTAATTAAAAGGGAGAGAAAACGTGGGCAAGAGAACACTTCTTGTAGCCCGAAAAATACATTTTCTATGGAATCGGAACGTATCAATGCTCATTTCGTATACAAAACATAGAAGAATTCGAGTTTTGAATATTTGGAAAAGCGACCACAATTTGTATAATGCGACAACGTGATTTAAATGTACAACGAGCGGGGAGGATGGAGAAGATGTGTGATTTAGCACGCAAGAAACATCCGGTCTAGTCGCCTCTCAGACTCACCATCTATCCTAGGAAGGAAGAAAGAGACAAAAACGAAGCTATCGGAAGGCGGTGGGAGGCAATGGGCTTGCAGACGGCCCCTCTGACGTTGAAAGATTGCTGGGCTCCTCTCGGAAGTCCCCTCCACACACCCCCGCTCTGTCAGGCAAGAGGTGTATTAGGGTCCAGAAGGTCGATGGCCCTGCTCACCGTGGGTGACTTATATGCGCCACCCCCTCTTCTCTTTGGGAATGTAATTCCCTCTGGTACAGTGTGACAAATAACAGCGATCGAAATTTAGCCCTCCTTCGGAATGCTGCCTACCTTAAACGGAAACTGTTTGCTGAACGGTTACACTTCTTCGTATTTCTCACCCGCTTCCAACCCGGCTGAGGCCTTAATTCTACGTCATCTTCCTTCAAAAATCCGTACAGAATCTCGTCTAAAATTCTGCTTAAATGACAAAACAGGACGTTAGAATAAGCTGTACGACCTCTTCAAAACGCCAACTGCAGCCAAGTCTTTGTATTTAATACAAGAATTGTCTTATTCCCCGTGTATTAAAGGACACAAGAAACGTCTAAAATGTATATAGAAACGAGACAAAGTAGAGCAACACCATAACACAAAAACAAACGAAAGTACAATAAATACACCTTTTACGTCCCATTTTTTCCTATTATTTTACTCTAGACACACGCAAAACTGTAAAAAATACAACAAAAATAAGATAAAACAATTGATAAAACACCTCGTATTAACTTAAACACAGGTTATCAAACTTAACAATACTATAATTGAACTTATCTAGCCTTAAAATTAAGGCTAAATCATTACATAAAACAGGTTAAAGCCTTTAATTAAGGCTACATTCTATACCTAATCGAATGGGGGTTATATATATATATGTATTATAAATAAGGCGATTATCATTTAGAAGAGGAGGAGGGGGGGGGAAGTAGCTCTATTTAAAACAGAGCGACAGACAGACGAACCCATTTAGTAAATCAATAATAAAAAAAAGTAATTCAAAAGAGTAGTTTATTTTAAAAATTCTAATTTTAAATCAACAAAATTACCTTAAACATGAATTTGCAGCTGTTTAGAATCCGCAAATACATTTTCTACCCCCCTATTTATTTTTACTTTCTGCTGCTTTTATTTATATAATTTTTTTTATTATTTTTTTATTATTTTTTCTTTCATTCTTTCTTTTTTTTTCTTCCCCATCTTCTAAATCTGAAAAATATGATTACCTTAGAGAAGAAAATCCCCTTTGGATAGCAGATGTTGTCCATCTGCTTAAAATCCAAATGGATAAGAAGAGGAAGAAAAAAAAATTATATATATTTATATATATAATTTACTTTTATTACATTATCTAATAATTGAAATATTTCTATTTATTTCTTTTTTTTAATAAGTTTTTTGTTATTTACTTAGGGGCATCAACAGAAGAAGAAGAAGAAGAGGAGGAGGAGGAGGTTGGAGCAGCAAGAGCACGACAGATGTATATTAAAAAAAATAGTATAAAAAATAATTTTCCCCCTTCTTCTCCCATTTTTTAATTAGGGGAAGTGTGTAATGTGTAATAGCCTTTTTTTTTTTTAGTTCGACGGACTACCTGCAGATGTCGTCCAACCCTAATGAGATGTGCAGCTGGACTGGTCCTGTTTGTGGCCCCCCTTTGCTCCTGTCGAAAGAGGTGGAGCTTAAAATCTGTTATATTGATAGAAATGGTTAAAGAGGCCACTTTTTTTACAGTATTTCTCGCTGTTTTTGCCATGTTTTAAGGCTTAATTCGTTGCCTTTAAGGCTCTTATATTACTGTGGTGGTTGTTCGAATTCTGGAGTGTAAAACAATCGAAGCGCTTTTGTTTATTCTCGTCTAAAGAGATTTAAGGCTCGAAAATAGGCTTATAAGGCTTACGTTTAGCTTTATTATATTATCAAGACACCTGATTAGAAGTGGTGGTGTAGTTTTGTAGTGTTGGTTGCCTCACCAGTTTTTGTCATTAAAAAGAGGTTTCTTATGCTGGTTTTAAGGCTAGGTAGTTTAATAAAGGCTCGAAAATTAGTGTAGGAGCTTTCTGCGCTTGTAAATATAGCCTTAAATTGAGTATTCGGTAGCGATGGAAGCGTAAATTTATCTGAAATGGTACACTAACATGGATGCATCTGATCCCTCTTTCATTGTGTTTTAAGGCTCAAACGTTAGCCTGGACTATTTATAAGGCTCTATTTTAAAGTTAGGATGCTCTTATTGTTGTTTTATAATACAAAATATGTGTAATAGGGTGTTTTCGACACTAGTTAAGCATTAAAGTGTATATCCCTGTGTATAAATATGATTTCCCTTCATTACAATACACACTAAGTGGCATTATACAGAAAAATAACACTAACAAAAGAGAAATTTAGTATTTTAAGTTTAAATAACACTAAAAACATTAGTATATTTCCTCTTAAAGTTTAATAATTAAACATAGTTAAGGTCCCTTCCTTTAATAACTTAGTTAATAGGGAAGAGTATATGAAATAGAACAACATAGTCAATAATTAAGGCCTCATAAAACAATATATTTTATGGATAGGCCTCATAGGACGTTCCTTATTCAATGAAATAGGTCAAACAGGCCTTTTCCTTCTTTATTTGGTTCAATTATGTAAATATTTTACAAAGCTTAGCAAAGGATGCTGAATTAATTTATTAGGGCCTCAGACAGAGAGGGCCTTAAAATGTAAAACGAATTTACACATTTTAACACCTAAAAATACCTCATAACATTTAAACACAACCATATAAATCCACCCAAAAGGCATAAAAACTGGAAGGAGAAAGGAGGAACTAAATAAAGCAAGATTTTAACGAATTTAATTAATATTAAATCGATTTAATCACTTAATTATAATTAAATAAGGCACAGGCGAGTTATCAGCACGAAACCTTAATCGAATCCTTTATTTTAACCATAGAATTTATGCAAATCTACAAAGTTCTATTTGCATAAATGCTTACGAGGAATCAAACAAAAAGAAACGAAGCATAAGGGAAACAATTAAGCATTATTTCGTTCATTTTAATGCCCAAAAGTACGCCTTAAATAAGCAATTATAAGGCTAATAAGTCGTTATATGTCATAATGACTGGAGGGGTTGACAAAAATTGGGTTTTCGATAAGATAAAGTGTTTTTTCCCATCACTCGACTAGAATTAATGCATTAAAGTCGACTTACTATTAACATTTCGTGTAATTACCACAAGTTATTTAATAGAATTACTCGTTTACCTTTACTTCTTTGTCTGTATGAGGCATGAGTTGCGTCAGCGTGTCCGCCATCTTGTTATCTCCTCCGGGGGATGGTTGTTAGCCTCTTCCTTTATGAGGGATCGACAATACAATTTTTTTTTTACTTGTCCCTTTCTTTTATGTCTTCTATCGTTCCACATTTTTCTGTATTTAATTTATTTTTCTACTAAAAAAATTTATTTATATATTTAAGGCATAAAAATCCCTTCGATTAGAAAATAATTTATGTATTTTGGGGCCTTCTTGGCGTACAAAAATCATCAATAACGTGAGGTGTCTAGTAATGTCGTCTAAATATCAGCTTTATATTTGTGAATTTTAACTGTAGAAAGGCCTTTTGGGGCCTCTAATGTATTAAAATCGCAGCATGTCTTTAGTAATTGCAATTATTTGGTGGTGTTTCTGCTAAAATATTGCCTTAATATACTCTTTTAGCAATGGGAAGGCCTCTTGTGTGTAGAAATCACAGCTTTTTTTTAAATAAAAAGCAATTATTTGGAGGTGTTTCTACTAAAATATTGCCTTAATATACTCTTTTAGCAATGGGAAGGCCTCTTGTGTGTAGAAATCATAGCTGTTTTTATAATATAAAGCAATTATTTGGTGGTGTTTCTGCTAAAATATTGCCTTAATATACTCTTTTAGCAATGGGAAGGCCTCTTGTGTGTAGAAATCACAGCATTTTTTAAAAATAAACAGCAATTATTTGGAGGTGTGTAGTAACGTTTATGTTAAGAAATTGTCTAAATATGACATTTAAACTTTAGTTTCAGCAGTAGGAAGGCCTTTTCGGGCCTCTAACGTGAAAAAAATCTCTGCTTCTTTTATAAATAGCAATTATTTTGAGATGTTTAGTAACGTTTCTCTTAATAAATTGCCTAAATTTGCGCTTTAAAATGCTAATTTTAACAGTAGAAAAGGCCTTTCGAGGCACCTAATATGTAAAAATCTCTGCTTATTTTTATTAATTGCAATTATTTTCGGGTGTTTTCTAACGTTTCTTGTTTAAAGAAACGTTAAGTTTTAGCAATAATAAAAGGCCTTTTGAGGCCTGTAAAATGTATAAATAATACTTATAAACTGCCACTCGGTTAATAGTTTAAGTGTAATTACGCGTAATCTTTAAAAAAAAACACTAGAAAGGCCTTCCAAAAAGGCTTTATATGAGTAAATATGTTAAAGGAGGGGAGAAACGAGACAATTCTGAGACAAAAAAGAAACATTTTTTTGCTTTTATTGGTACGAGAGAGAGAAGGAAAAAAACTTGTGTTTTTTTTTTCTTATTTTTTGACACTACATTACACAGACGAGGATAAATAAATGTGCCCCAAAGTGCTATAAACAGGGCATAACAGTGTACTGTACATACAAACATGCACATTTATACTACAACATTAAAAAAAAAAATGACTAACTATACACACTTTGATGGCATCGTCATCATGAGTATGATCTCTCCTGAGTTTGTTTTTCTTCTTTGCATTATTTATAATATAAATTTTGTTTAATATCATCCATCACTTTGGTCACAGGCCTGTATATATATATAATGTAAAAAAAGGCCCCCTTTTAAGTACCAGTCTTTCAGTACTTTGATGTTAACGTTTCCCCTCCTCGACAGGGCCTTATTCTTAATACTGTTTTTTTTTATCTTAAAAATTGAGCCTTAAAAAGCTTAAACACTCTTCAGGCTATTCAGGCTATAAAAGTAGGCAAAATTTTAAAATAGACTTCATATATATATATATAGGCTATATATGAACGTCGTATACGGGGTATTGAATAGTATAATATTTACGTATATTTTGGGGAATATTAAGGCTCAATTTGCCTAGTATTTAAGAAGGAATAGTAGCTTCAAGTTTTTTTTTTTCCTTTCCAAACACCACTCCCTTTTCTAAATTGTTTTATGGGCCTTTTTCCCTTTTGTTGTTACCATTCCTTTGTCACAGTTACTCCATCGTTACACACTAATTTAAGTAAAGGGGAGGCCTCATATCGACAATTTTAAACCATTAAAAACACAGGGATTTTTTCCACTCTCAAACACAATAAAGGGACAGACAAATCAGTTCCTTATAAGATAATCACACAATCACTCGTACAGAAAAAACAAATATAAGAGGGAGGAGGGATACAAATTTGTCTATCCCCCTGTACAAAGCCTGTATTGTACTCCAAATAAATATATATTTAAACAACAGAAGAATATTTTAATTATTTATATTTATATATATATATATAGCCTATAGGAAAAAAAAATCACAAATGAATTTTACTTTACTTTGTTCTTCTCGTCGATTTTAAGGGGAGATCTTTAATTGTGTTTTCCAGTGTTAAAAAAGAGGTAAACAAAGCTGGAAAATTCGTATTTTGTTTCCACGTTCATTCACCAATTAAACATAAGCACAATTTATGTACAGAATATTTCACTTTTTTTTTTCTTATGCTAAATCATTGTTCAGTGTTAATTCAGGTGTAGGTCCTCCCATTGAAAGTCCCGCTTCCAGTTTGGCTTTGTTCTCCTTTTTCCACTTCATTCTTCTGTTTTGGAACCAGATCTTGATTTGTCGTTCGGTTAAGCAAAGGGCGTGAGCTATTTCGATTCTTCTTCTCCGGGTTAAGTATCGATTAAAGTGGAATTCTTTCTCTAATTCCAATGTTTGGTAACGGGTGTATGTCTGCCTCCCTCTTTTCCTTTCTGTAAAAGACAAGATAACCATTACTCAATCACTTCCTTTGCATAAACTACTAAGCTAAACAGCATTTGTTTTCGTGTATAAACACGTCTTAAATCCCTTAGTTTATGTAAAACGGCTCTAAAAATCCCCAGTTTATAGGCGAACTGTTGATCTAAAACAACTCTAACAATCCCTAATACTTAATATAACACAGCTCTATGTAAAACATCCCTAAAATCCTCAGTTTATAGGCGAACTGTTGATCTAAAACAGCTCTAAAAATCCCTAATACTTAATATAACACTACGTAAAACATCCCTAAAATCTCTAGTTTAGAGAGAAATTTTTGACACAAAAACTGTTCTAAATTCCCTAATTCTAATCGCAAAATTTCCCCAAAACACTTCTAATCTATCTCATAAAACTGTATAACCGATTAAGAATGTAAAATATCCCTAAATTAAAGTAAGCAAACACTTAAATTTAGGGAATATTTTAACAGATAGCACGACACTACATTGTAATGAAGAACAGAAGAAATTCTCTCCCTAAAAAGACAAAAAAAAAGAAGAAAAATAAGGATGTTAGTTAAGTAATTAAGGGGATTGGAAGCCTGAATAAGGTTTTTATAATAAGAGACAGGCCTGCTTAGCATCCCTATTCAAATTACATCCGAATAAACAGATTATTTACCGTGTAGAGAATAGTAATTAGGTGGTAATGAATAAATTAAAGTCATCCGAGTCCATCCTGGTTAATTAGAATAATTGAAAGTGAAGAAAATTTCATCAAAAGCCGTAACAAATGTCAAATCTATGGCCAGATATGAGTCACGAACCCCCTATTTTTTCCTTAAAGAAACACTAGATCATAGAGATAATTGCGTGATGTACGAAAGCAATTTCCTAGATAAACATCGCCCCGTATCTATTAATACATAATTTGCTTACAAATAAAGTCACCCCCCTCTCTCCCTTTTATCAGATCCGTCCGTTTGTCGAGCCCGTAGAAGGGGGTGTAGAAACCACCAGCAAAGCATCAGAAATATGGTGGACGAGTGCACCGGTTATGCGCCAATGAATAAGTAGAAAACAGTATCCAGGTGTGAAGGTTAAGAAAGAAAAACTTAAGTGTCCCCCTGTGAAGGGGAGGGGCCCCCTGTTGCGTCAGAGAAGGCATCGAAATGGGCGTTAAAAAGATTTTTTTTTTACTTTTTAGCCAAAGGGTGTTCGAGGACCCGTGGGATGGCCTACTGGGTTCAGGGTCACCTTACTGGCGCCTCCCATCAAAAGACTGAGCGTTACGTCATGCGTGTGGTCCCCCTGGGTCAACACCTTCTTTTGACGTATGGCTTGACCACATGAGAAATGTCACCTTATTATCCTTCTTATGGATGCCTTAACAGGTGCGGAGATAGATTTATGGCACGTCATATACGAGGGAGAATAATTAAAAGTTGAACACAGAATATTTACTGTTGGAATTTATAAAAATTTGGAAGAAAATTTGCTTTTTTTTAAGGCCCCATTTTACTCAAGTAAACAAACAGAAAATGCCATTTTTTCGGCTTATTTTTCGACCTTTAACACGTAAACAAACAGCGAAAAAAGACCCTACAATTAACAATCGAACGGCTTAAATCCCTTTTTACTCTTGTAATTTCCCCAAATTAAACGAATCATTTAACAGTAGAAACGTTGGAAATTTCTAAAAGACACCCCACACGAGAGGGTGGGAAAAAATTGACCAAAAAAAATCAACTGTGGGTGAGTAAATATGCAATTTAAAACACTACTTTTAAAGACTAAAAAACACAGCTTACAGGAGAGGGGGGAAACAATATTTATAAATGCAAAACAGGAGAAAAGAGGAGAGGAGGGAGGAAGGAAGAAGAAGGAGGAAGAGGAGGAGGAGGAGGGGAGGGAAAAAAACAAAGAAGCAATTTCGTGTAGTCTACTTAAAATTCAGTGAATAAAAATCCACAAAATATGTATACAAAAGAAGCAATAAATTTAACGAAGACAAAAGAGGATCAAAGAATAGAAAACATTTCGTCATAAACCAAATTTGAAAGAAGGGGAAGAGGGAAAGGGAGGGAGAGGAAGAGAGAGAGAGAGAGAGCGTTAGTTCGAAATCAAATTTAATAAATTCAAAAATATATCGTAGGAAAAGAAAAAAACAGTAAAAAAAAATAAATAAAAGGGGGTGAGGACGAAGAAGGAACAGAGCCGTCTCTTTTCGCACTTTATCCCTTATTTACAGTAATATTTCCTGACGTAATAGCTCGTTTATAAACTTATCAAGAAGACATTTTACAACCTCATGTAAATCCGAGCCGGTGTATTTACTGCTCTCTCTCTCTCTCTCCCTCCCCCCTTTACTCTTCCACCCTTCCCCCGAATACCTAGAAAAACTGAAATTCGGTAATGGCCTTTTTGTGACCATCGTTCTTTCATTGTTCACTGTGTAAATCATTCCCCTTTACTCGGACGGTTTTATTGCAGTAGAGGGAGCGATTGAAAAAACAAGGCTCTTTCCTCTCTCTCTCTCTTTTTCCTCCCTCGCAACCGTTACACAATAACAACTTGCAAACGTCGAAAATCGTTGGCTTAAACGAGTACGCGGCTTTCTAAACAATTGCCGACCCCTCTAGATTAGAGGCACCCCCCAGATTAGAACAGACTTCGAGTGTCAGAAGTACACATCAGCAATTGTCTAGGGGGTGTCTAGAAGGACGAGGGAGAGTAAGACTAAGAGGAGAGAGAGAGAGAGAGAAAAATGTTAAAAAATCTACCCCAGCAGGAAAGAAATTTCGTGTCTTCGGTCATGTCCTTACAGGAGAGGCATCTCCTACGCTACACCCTACCTGCCTAAAGCAAATAAGGTCACATCTGACGATAAATTACAAGAGAAAACTCCCATTTTCATGAGCTCACTCCGTTTTGAAAGGTTCTTAAGTCATTTATCATCTCACCCTTTCTCTAAGAAGTAAAAATCGATAGGTTAGAAGAAGACGGAGGAGGCCAAAAAAAGGAAGAAGAAGAAAAAACACCAAAAAGTACAAGGCAACCCCCCTTCGTTCAGAAGAGGGAATAATTAATTACTGGTCAACTACAAGGCTCGGTTGTACAGAAAGTTTGCTAAGAATCCATCATCCGGATGGAGAGGGGGAGGGAGGGAAAAACCCTTTGGGCACAGATGAGACACGTCTCGGCGAATCACCCCCGGTTTTGTGATGTAAACCGTCACATAGCTGTCACTAGGTAATACTTTAATAAAATACTGTAACATTAATTAAATTTTCTTTCGACGTCTGTTTAATTAAACACGTTGTCTGTACCCGAACAAGACGAATAGGTGAGCTTTCAACGTCTCGTGTTCGTGCCAGCCATACTTTGGTTTGTCCACATTAAACTTTCCAGACCTTCGCTGATCATTCATGTTTTCTAATGAATATTTACGATAATTTGCAGTCAAAACTTAAGGCTTTTGTTAATAGTTTCTTCAGATAGAAATGTGTTGGATGATAATTTAACCTTCTCCTCGTTTTTTTAATTTCCTACCCCTCCCTCCCCTTCCACGTATATAGGGCCACTTCTTTATTCTACATAGCTTCACCCTCCAGCGATAAATCCCAAGTTTTTAAGTCACCTACCACGTTTAGGAATTTAAGAACTGACAATAATTAAATAAAACAGAAATTTCTATTTAAAAAAAGGCCTTCCAGGCCCTAAACATTTAAACAGCGAGGCATATAACGAGGTTAAGTTACCTCATCTACCCTTTTAAAAGGAATAAGAAATTGCTTAATTTTCCGGCTACGAAAACTCTAATTTTGAGGCCCTAAAGGGCCTAGGTGAATGTGTCGAAAACGGCCGAGTAAAAAGGCAGAAATATCCCTGCAAGAAATGGCATCAGAAGTAATTCCCTATTAATTTCCGAGCCGTTTAAATGAGCCCTATAAATCACTGTCGCGCATCTGATTAAAAGAGAGCAAAGAATGTCCCTGTGTAAGCATGATTTTTAAATAATCCATCCCCCCGTTTTCCTCCGAAACTCCCAATAATTAACCAGAATTTCAATTTACGTAAGGCAACGTGTCCATTTTCTAGTTACGAAGACAAAAAAAAACAGAGGAAACAACAGAAGCGTATAGAAGAACAGGGACTCGAGGGTGGAGGAGGAGGAGGAGGAGGAGGAGGGAGAAAGAAAGAGAGAGAGCGAGTTGATGCCTATAAGTTTATAAATTATACCACAGACCTATATTTAGAAGTGAAACATTGACCCCAAGAGCAACCAAACACTTGAACTGTCGATCAAATAAAACCGCCATCTTGATATCCTATAAGGGCCATTAACGTCCAGGTTAGGATTTACGACAAACATAAATAGACGTCAAAACTTTAAAGAGAAAGAGGAGGAGGAGGAGGAGGAGGAGAATGAGGGATGGGGGAAGGAAGAGAAGAATCTAAACCTCTTCCAAAATAATTTTTACACTTTTAAAAATGAGAATAAACACACACACACACCCCCCTTGCTACTCTTTAAAATTCTCTTCCTGTTCGCTTTATCTACAAGTGTATATGTGTTTTTTTTCTTCTGGTGGGGGTGTTTCTTGCGTAATCAAGGCTATAAATAATAAATAACTAGCTACGTAGTTGTTGTATGAGGTTCGTCGTGTGGTGCTGACATCCATGACGCGATATTTACGTCGTAAATTATGTCAAACAAGTCGTTTCGGGGCGAGCTATATGACATTTTAAGTGTTCGGACAGGGATGGCGGAACCGATTCTCTTACGTCTTCATACAGGCCTCAAACGTATCTAAGATTTGAGGCCTCCTAAACTTAAAAACTACAGTTTTAAGAGGCCTAAAACGATTAGAAATCTGGCTGATCGAATCGTACAACCTACTCTGATGAGGCCTCATAAATTAATCTCCCCTCATGCTTCTCGAGCAAGTTTTATACCACTTTTACATTTTCGTACTTCTATTACGAGGAGGCCTTAAAAATAAATA